TTTTTTCTCCAAAATTCTCCCTGACCATGTCCCTTTCAGTGATGCCATTTTTGCCCAGTAATTAAAGCCCTTGGAAGTTCACCCAGCTCTTAAATACACGGAGCAGAGAGTCCCCAAGCGTGCAGGCTGCCACAGGAGCGCCCTGCTCCCGGACAGCTGAGTGTGACTCAGCTTGGCCTCCTCCCCAGCCTTCCAGGGGTCCCCAGGCGCCGCTCGGCCACACGTGGGGCATCCTGCTGCCAGCACTTGGCCTCCGTTTCCAGCTCCCTGCTTCAATGTGACTAAGCTGAGTCTGGCAACGATTTTTGGCCAGATGGAGCCGAGGGAGCTGTAATTTCTGGAAGGATGAGGTAAAGCGGCAAGCAGACTGGGCTGAAAGTCCTCGAGCTGGCACAGCTGCAAACAGAAGGTGGGTGGATGTCCCCAGGTCTATTCATATTTTATTTTAATTTGAAGCTCCCTAGGCACCCATGGTTTCATGTCGAGGTGTGCATGCACTGTAGTGCACATTGCACTGTGCATGTAGTGCAAAGCACTACAGGTTTGATAAAGCTCCTATCTCACATCCAGTCCAAGGGGAGATTCAGAAACTAGAGCACCATTTAACCCATATTGATAATTCCACACAAAATGCAGAAAGAGCCACTGCTTCTCTGAAACTTGGAGAGGGAAAATAGGGGGAAGAGGGGTCGAGATGGTGGGAGAGACAGTCTTCTCATACGTCGCCTAAGGACTGTGTAAGCATTTGCTTATCAGTGTCCAACAGCAGCCATGAACAGTCACAGGAGCACATGCACAAGCAGAGCTCAGGATCCCCCCTCTCCCGAGCAAATGACCTGCTTTCAGCTGCAAGGTAAGAGCCTTCGTCTGAACCAGCACATTTTAAATTCTCTCCTGAGCAACCACAGAACTGAACTCAACCACAGTAAATTCTCTCCTGAGCAACCACAGAACCTCAAATGTACTGAAGGGCACCCTGCATAAAAGAGTGTTTAGCTTAGTGCTGAGGGCATGATGTTCAAGTGTGAGGCATTAAACACAGTCAGTCAAGCTTAAATAGACTCAGTTTGGTGAGACAACTGAACTTAGATATGCCATATCCACTCAGGGTGCTTTCGCTGCGCTGGTATTGGAGGTACAGTAATTTTTCATCTCATACTGTTTGATAGAACTCAACTATCTCCTAATAACAAATGTCTGTCTTTCTGCTCAGGTATTTCCCATTCGGAATAGTGTTCCTAATTGCGGGCAAAATCTTAGAAATGGATGATCCTTCAGCCATTGGAAAGAAACTAGGTTTCTATGCCATTACCGTGGTGTGTGGCTTGGTCGTGCACGGGCTCTTTATCCTGCCAATGATGTACTTCTTCATCACCAAGAAGAATCCCATTGTCTTCATCCGAGGGATCCTTCAAGCCTTGCTCATTGCCCTGGCCACATCCTCCAGGTATTCCGCAGTTTTGTAGGCAGATGCAACAAAGCATTTGCTAGATGCTAATTCCAACATTTTCTTGGGAACAGCACCATACAGGTGCCCTGTATCCAGTTCACTGGTACATTTTTAGAAGATGTGTCTCTCCACTCTTGGAAGCTATGAGAGGAGCCATTTGACAGTAATGCTTGTTACAGTTTCTCAGTTTAAAAAGGCTGGATGAGACAGATTTACTTAGAGGACTAGAAAGGAAATAAGGGTATTTTTCCATGAAAACAAACATTGTGCTTGTACACATTTAACATATGTAAAGGATACAAAATTTGTCCAAATTTCAATCTTTGTATTAGTGGAAAATCTCCTACTTGTGGCATATGGAAACATTTTACCCTTCCTGCTCATCTTAGTCTTTGTTTTTTTGCTACATTAAGACTGTGGTTGCAAGCTGTTGTCCAGCACTGGGAAAATATCTAGCTATTGTGCCAAAGGAATAATGTTTTCACATCCTCTTTAGGGAGGATGTACAATGAGTTTTAACCATAGCCGAAGAAAGGTACAGTGGAAATGGGAAACAGCTTGTGAAAACTGGCTGTGAAATGTCCAGCAACATGGATAAACTTTTGAATTGGAAGTGCTTGAAAAGACTGCAACTGACTTGCACAGAGTGGAAGCAAGAACGACAAATAAAATAACATTTCCACATAGCTGGTGTCTGAAAACAGTGTCTTACAGGATCTGTGGCTGGTGGCCTGTTGCTCTGAAGGAACAAGAACAGCTGTACCTAGCACTTCTTATGCAGTGATGAAAGCTACAGAATTAGTTAAAAACACAAGACAAATATGTTTCTCTGGGGTGTCTTATATTTGTTATTTCTACTGTCATGAAGAGGGCTGAAGAATAGAAAAGAAACCTTCCTTTTATCTCAGCTTGATTTCATGTATTTGCTTTTGACTTTTAAAAATTACTATAATTATTATTTTACAAAGATACTGGGAAATACTAAATCCAGATTTTGATACTATGGCAGTTAGTGACAACACCTATCTTCATCTATTTAATTTATACCTCTAAATTAGTATAAAATCAGTAAGAGTGTACATCTCTTAATTCTAAAGAAACTTACCCTGAAACCCTGAAAAATATGTAGTATTTTCAAAAGGTGTTGCCTTTCCAATGTGTTTCATTTTACAGGGTGTTTTTCATATTTAATAGTTTGCTTCCAACTATCCTATATCACATTCCCTGAAATATAGGCTCAAGAAGAAGTTATGTCCTGGGTAGAACTTTAAATTCTAACTGGTTTAAATAAATTAAGCTGGACTTTTTTTTTTTAGGTAAGCATTAAAGGGCCATAACTTGGGATGTCATCACATCCCCCGCTCCCAGTAAGATGTCCATTTGACACTCAGCAATGTTAGTGTTGGAAAAGGTCCTTCAGGGTCACATTTGACACATTTGACTCTCTGCCCTACTCCTCTAAGGAGTCTGTTTCTGAAGAACAGTAACGCTGGCAACTCGAGTATTTTTTTTACTCTGTGTTGTTTATTCCATTCTCTTTTTAGTGGAATATTTTCTTAAAAAGCTAATCCGAATTGTTTACTTTTTAGGAAAAAAAAAAGAAAAAAAAATTGCTCATTTCATGTGTATCATCTATAGAAAAAATTGTCCATTACTCATTTTTTCTATTAACAGGCAGCAAAATCAAGCAGCTCTTTCACCAGGACAGATCCTTTGTCAAGTAATACTTAAATCAGATTTTAAAAAATAGCATAGGTCCCAACTTTTTCATAAAGCAATTTCTCTTTTATCACTTTTCATGTTTTCATCAACATTTTGTTTTGACTTTATATTCAATTTATTATTCCTCAGAAATATTTTGGTCTTGTGCTTCTTTAAATAACTTTCTCTTGTTTCTATCAAAGCAATTTATGGTTTCTTCATGGGATCTCATCTTCTTACCCTGTCTCTTTGCAGTTATAATGCCTTCTTTGTACTTTATAACATCTGTTTGTCATAATTTATAATATCTGCAGGCCTAGGGTGGGTTATAGAACATCGCAAAGTTGGAAATGTTCCAGTGCCAATATTATCAATCATAGCAATAAAACAAAATATCAGGCATGATATGTAGTAACAAAAGTACCACATCTGCAAATGTGCACAGGGGATTAATGCCCCTGTTCCATTTGTGAGTGTCTGAAGTTGTTTCACTCTTTGGAAGAGGTTGTTGGAGTTGGCTTGGGGGTTTTTAGATCAGTTATCTTTTCTAATACTTACTTGCAGAAAGCCTCTGAACTTCCAGATTTGGGGCTTGGACTCTCTGATGGAGTTAGGTCTTTGTGCCCCCTCTGTCAGCACATACATTTTGCAAATCCAGCCCAGGCACAACATGGCCATTAATGTTTTTCTTCTCAAACAGCAGTGTCTTGTCTGGAGATGGCTGAACTTTTCACCTTGCTTACACTGAAAGGAATGGATACTGCGCATAGCTGAGCCGATGCCAAAAGAACATGCACAAGTAATCGGGGCTGGATAGGAGAGCTGCCTCTCCTGACAGTCCCCACAGCTGTATTTGGTTAACTAATACTTGCCACAGGGGCATTATATAACATTCATAATGTGGGTATTGGATTTTCAGCTCATCTTTGAGGAGAACAAAGAGTTGGTTTTAAGCATACTGATGTGTTTCTTGCAGATGTTTCTGTGTCAGTTCATGTCTACGCTGACTGATAGAAAGCACATCACAAATCAGTGCTCTGATAGCCAGGCCAGAAATCCCAGTCACACCACAATTTATTGACCTGGGTTTACACTGACATTACTGGAGAGACAGGGGCAGAGAAGAAGGAAATTCTCTGATGCCAAATCCTCGGCCCTCTTCCAGGCTGGCTTTGGCAACAGACACCTATAGCAATGGAAAGAGCTCCTTGGACGTCAGTGAAGTCATTGCCCCTCTTGCTCCCATCTGTGGGGTCCAGGCAGCGTTGTGCTGCTTTGCCCCCCTCCACATGTCCACCTCACCCCTGATCTCACCATCTTTTACTGCACTGACCAAACAGCGTTCGAGCTGCAAACAAAATTCCTCTTGATTTTGGCTTTCATGCCATAGACATGAGGGAATTTTATTTTTCTAGGTCATCTTTCCATTAATGAATTAAAGCAGCATCTTCTCAGTGGTACATGCCATCAAAAGAAGCAATTTTCATCTTCTCTGAAGACAGACTGTAAAATATGAGTACTTCCAGGGTTTTTGCTGCTTATGAAACACTAAGATCTTGGCCATTGCACAGTGTAAATTAAAGGCAGATTTAGCAAAAGGGAGATGAGATCAGTTTGTTGATTTTTTTGGAGCAAATACCAAAATGCATTTGAATGATAAGATAAACAGAGCAGGCTGCACAGCTGTTCTGCTGTGACTAGCTGTCTTACTATGCGGCTCGCACTAGTGAGAGCTTGGCCTGATCAACCGTCAGCTTATGTCTCTGCAGCTGCAGAGCCTTGTCCAAAACAAAATTGAGATAACACTCTAAAAATATATTTTTAATTATCAATGTGGTAGTGCTAGGAGAAGATATCCCTCCTCTTAGCTGCAAGTTTTAGAGAACATTTTAAACCAACAACCACTTAAGTGCTCTGTGTCTAACAGCACAAAATTAAAAATAAAGCAACACATAATCCTGTGAATTAATGAACAAGGTAAAAGGCTGAGTTCTTGTGAAAACAGTGTCATGCATTCAGTGGAAATAGGTACAGGATTTTTTGTTTCTGCCATTGGTATTGTGGGATTCTTTCCTCAGTTTTTTTTTGGTCATATCTCAATCAAATCCAAAGATGTCAGTCAGGTCAGACTTGCACCTTCCCACCTCAGCTCTCTGCTGTGTGAACACGAAGGCGCTTAGGTTTAAAACTCTGTTATGATCAGAGTGTAGGCAAGGTGGAAAAGGACTTGGAAGGTGAACTTTTTCCTCCTTGCTTCCCCACAAACAGGTCAGACAGAGTTCTGTTCCAGAAAAATGAAGTGGCCTGGGAAAGACTTTTTAAAAAGCAAATAATCTTCAGAAAAGAAGCAGCTTCAGGGGAGGGAGGCAGTGAATTGTAGGCTTAATAATTAATTCCTCCCAATACCTGCAGTTAGGAAGATCTAGAGCTGCTACTGTGGCAGTCTGCTATAATTACAGCTATGCCAGGATTTTCTGTGCTACAGTATTAGTGCACCCCAATGTCACTCTTGTTTTATGAACATTTTATGGTAAACAAGTCATAAAGAACTTCAGTCATTCACAAATGAATGGGAAAAAATTATATACATGTCCAAGAGAGAAGTTACTTCCTGCGTACTTCAGGGTTTTATGCTTTCCTGTGTTTATTTTTCAAAAGAAAAATTGATTTAAATATTAGGACGGACAGAATTAAGAAATTGAATATAAGCCAGTTACCAGAGTTCATCAGTTTTTAATTGCTTCCTTGCCCTTTCAGCTCATTTGCAAACTTGGAGAATTACTTCTGCACAGATTTTAATGGTAATCACTGCCTGTCTGCCTATTGTGAATTGTTCAGCAGTCAGATATTTTAGGAAAAGATTGTAGGAAACCGACAAGGTGAGGAAAGTATCCTCCGATAGACAGAAACCTTTTTGCCTTTATAGTGCAGGAAGTTCGTTTTTCAAACACTGTTACTTCCTCAGACAGCAGCTTGTACAAATAGCGAATCACCTACTCATGGAAACATTCTAATACATTATACCAGACTTGGGGCTATGATTTTATCAGAGCTTTCAGAATCTCCCTATTTTGTAAGTAAGTAAGTCAAATGTGATGACTGATGGAAAGAACTTACAGAACAAGCGTGTTATGTTTTCATTAAAAGCAAATAATGATCATTATACCACTTAAGTATCACAGCCACATTGCTGTTGTGGGGCTAACAACCCTGAGCAAACTACTGAAAAGAGGTCTATATTTCATTACTGGGATCAGGTTTTCAGAAAAATAGAAAATCAAACACATCAGTAGCATGATGCCAACATTTTCCCATTCAATAATTATCTATCTCTTTAATGAAGTTACTTTGGAATCCTTGCAAATTACATCATTATTTTACATCTATTTCAGTCATCTCAGATACTGAGCAGTATGTTAAAAGCTGTACCACTACAAGAAAACATCTTAGCGT